AAGGAGGAGTCTTTTTTTTTTTTTAATGGTCCAGATTTGAAAATGACAAGGCTAAAAATACAGATACTTAGCCTAGTGCAAAGCTTTGTAAATTGAGCCTTGGGTCTTCAAATACATTTTAGAACATTCAAATAATGTAAGACAAAGACTACTTGATAATGTCAAGGATTTTAATTATAGCCTTTTAGTATGTGTTCATTAAAAAGGTCATAAGGAACATCCCTTTTGCATGTACTAGCAGCCAAGTTGTCACAAGTCAATACTAGTTGTGGACCAGTGTCGCACAAGAACTAAAATGTACCTAAATAGTACAGAAGAATGCTGTAGTATAGGCAGGTGTAGATGGGATCTAAATTGTTACCTGTGGGTCATAAGATTTGTGCCACAAATTGTTTCAGTCACGATGCCATTGAGCGGTTTATAGCCTAATCACTACAGCCCAAACGTGTGACAATAATGGATTCCTGTGTAAGATGTACAACATCTTTTAATTAGGTGTTAATTTTAATTCAATGTCAAAGATGGAGCAGTAGGAGCAGAACATTAAGTAGCATTATAGAAATACAAATAATTGCTTTAGGCCATCTTACTTAAACTGGGTACATAAAACCAATAAAATAGAAATGATCTCTTTATATTTCTGTCCAATCTTACATTGTACTGTAACAGTGCCTCTGAATATGGCAGACAGAGGATAAAACAGTGTCCAGTGGCTTCTCTTTCAAGATATATATATATATTTCCCTGCTACAATTCCAGGCTTCCAAACAAAGTGACTTATAGTGCAATCAGCCTATAGGATAATAAACCTATTAGCTCAATAAACCCTCATCAGTGCTGAAAGGAAAATGTATAGCCTCTCCTTCCACTGGGCGGGTTTACCTATGTTAAAAAAATAACAATAATAATAATAATAAAAGAAAGGCTCTGTGCTGATCTACCAGTTATTAAAATGGATAGCATGGGCTCTTGGATGAGCATTTGGTGAGTGTGACCAGAGATGAATGCCGAGTGCTAATGCCCCTTGACATGAAGAGGTTTAGGAAAATATCCCAAGATAGTCCTTTGGCTGATTTCTACTTAGAAAACCCACCAAGGCTGATATTGGCACCTTGTAGTAAGGAATCCCCAGGAACACATGGGGAGGGGTTTTCTGGGCCCTGGAGGGATAAGAAGTCTGAGATGTCTATAGATGATGGTGTCCAAGGTTGTAATTCCATAGGGTTCAGTAAGTGTCCACTGCTGCCTTCACAGGGTGGCAAAGGAGTGGCTACAGTGTCACGAAGGGATGGCTCAGTCTATGGTTTGGGAACAGAACAGGCTCTGAAGAACATATTTTGGCCTTGGTGGAATCCTCTTTTACAGTCTCTACAGGCACACTCAAATCATGGAATTACAGAAAGGAGTGCCAGACCAAAAACACAAAGAAAAAAGTCCAAGATAAGTTTTTATTGCAGGTAAATAAGACATTTACAAACAGCCAAAGCATTTGAGAACAAAACCCCTCCTCATCATCAGGGCTCAACATAGGATAAACTTGAATGGCCTCAGAGAAACTAGGGCCCACATAGATCTATATTAGAACGAGTGTTAAACTCTCCTTATGGAGTAATAATTGTGGAGCTGAAATGGGTATACCGGTTCTAAAATAGATCTTTGTGGTCACTATTTTCTCTGCAGCCATCCAAGTTTATCCTGTATTGAGTCCTGATGAAGGGGGAGTGGTTTTGCCCTCAAACACGTTGGCTGGTTTTATAGGACCTTTTTACCAACATTAAAAACATTATCTTGGACTCTTTCATCCCTTTTAGGTCTTGCGCTTCTTTCTGTAATACTATGATTTGAGCTACCATCTGGTACCCATTGACAGAAGCCTTGTTGTGTGGTAGCCACCCCGCCAGAGCTATTGAGCTTGCTTGAAGTTTTTCCTTCATCTGACTGCACGTTTGAATAGTCTCAGTGCCTCTTTAAATAGGTTGTTCCGGAGCTCTGCAGGCACACTGACACTGGCAAGACTCTTCTTGTTTTATAATGATGACAGGAACGCTCAAACCAACCTGCAGTACAGCATTGCCTGGAAACACAAACAAAATATATCATGTTACAAAATAGGAATATCTGATGGACATTTCCACCATTTTCAGTACAATTGCTGTATAACCCTTCAACCACACAATTAATATAAGTCCCTGTAAATGGGGCCAGATGAATGAGTCTCATGAATTGCTCCATAAAGACCCTTGCAGTCTTCTGCGGGTGGGAGGCGCTGTACATTACAATGACAGATGGTCCCGCCTGCTGATGTTCGCAGGCCATTCGCAAGTAATCACACAAGCTGCAAATACCTGTGAACAGTCGCACCTGAATGCCACCAGTGCGTCCAGGTGGAATTGTCCACAGGAAATCGCAGGCTGTGAGATTGATTGCAAAACAGCCAACAAACAGCTCTCAACAGTGGCAGCTGTCATTGTATCATACAGTGCCTCACTCCTGCAGCAGATCGCATGAGTCTTGCAAGGAATTCATGAAAGTCATTGATCTGGCTTTATTCGCTAGTGTGAATTGGGCCTAAAACAAAATGACAACATATTTTTACAACAAATCAACAACCAAACAATAACCAAACAATAACAAAAGTAACCTAAGACCTCATTCACACTGAGCGATTTGTAGCGCGATTTCAGCTCAATGTAGCTTGCCCAATGCATTTCAATGGAGCTGTTCACAGCTCAATGTCGTCTGTAGCTTGTAGCTCAAGCTTGTCGCTTGAACATGACCTATTTTTCGGCAGATTTCATACGATTTGGCCCCAATAGACTTCAATGGTGTAGCTCAATGTCACACAAATTTGTGCGACATTGCGCAACATTGACGCGCTACAGAAGGGTCACGTTTGCACAGAAATATAAGCAGGAACATAAGCAGGAAACAGGAAGAGGAATTAAGTCACATCAAGACCACTCAATGTAGCGGCTACGAAGTCCATGCCAAAAGTAGCGCTGCGTAGTGCGACAATATGTGCACTGTAGCTCAATGTCTCTCAAAGTGGCTCAGCTCAAATCAGTGCTGAAAACGCGCTTTTTCTGATGTAGCTCAGTGTGAATGGAGTCTTAAATCATCAAAAGAGACTGAACTGAAAAATACACACCTCTGAAAGTTTTAACACAATATAGTGGTAACTGATATGGCTTCAACAATTATACAGTGGGTATAGAAAAGAATCAGCCCCCTTTAAAATAATCACATTTTGTTGTTTTGCAGCCTGAAATGAAGACAGGCAGTTTGTTTTATCCAGCTGTATTTACTCAGTGCAACTTATAACATTCAAGTGAAAGATATAACACCAACATGTCAGAAAAAATTAAAACAGAAAATCACTGAGTTGGAAAAAAGATCACCCCTTGTGTCAGTATTTTGTTGAACCACCTTTTGCTTTAATTACAGCCTTTAGTCTTTTGGGATATGTCTCTACTAACTTTGCACATCTAGACTTTGCAATATTTGCCCACTCTTCTTTGCAGAACTGCTCAAGTTCAGGTAAATTTGATGTTGAACGTTTGTGGACTGCAGCCTTCAAGTCATTTCACAGATTCTCAATGGGGTTTAAGTCTGGGCTCTGACTAGGCCATGCAAGGACATTCACCTTTTTCTCCTTCAACCACCGTGTAGTCATTTTTTGCTGTGTGCTTTGGGTCATTGTCATGTTGGAAGGTAAACCTTCTTCCCATTGACAACTTTCTGGCAGAGGGCAGCAGATTTTCCTCAAGAACTTGACAGTATTTTGCCCCATCCATTTTTCCTTATATCCGGACAAGTGCTCCAGTCCCTGCTGCAGTGGAACATCCCCATAACAGGATATTACCACCTCTATGCTTTACTGTAGGAATGGTGTTATTTGGATGGTGAGCTGTATTGGATTTCCACCCGACATATCATTTGGTGTTGAGGACAAACAATTCAATTTTAGTCTCATCTGACCATAACACCATTTTCCATGTGGCCTCAGAATCTTCAAGGTGTATTTTGGCAAAGCTCAGCCGTGACCGCATGTGGCCTTTCTTGTGGAGTGGCTTTATTCTTGCAACCTTGCCATACAAGCCCCATTTGTGGAGAATTTGTGATATTGTTGTCACATGCACACAATGACCACTCTATCATAAAATCCTGCAATTGCTTCAGAGTTGCTGTAGGCCTCTTGGTAGCCTCTCTGACCAGTTTCCTCCTGGCTCTTCCATCCAGTTTGGAGTGGCGTCCTGATCCAGGGAGGGTCTGTGTTGTACCAAATACCTTCCACTTCACTATGCTTCTAGGCATTGATAAAGCCTTTGAATTTTTTTTTTTTTATCCATCTCCTGACTTGTGCCTGTCCACAACTTTATCCCGGACATCTTTTGACAGTGCCTTGCCACCCATAGTGATTGTTTGCTTCAGTTGCACACCAGGGACTGAAATGCTCCAGGAAAGCGCTTTTCATGCTGAGCTATTTGACATTCAGCTATGGTCATTTTAAATGGCTTTGCGTGCCATTGAGAAGGTGATTAGCTACATCTGATTGAGTGTACAAGTCATTTTTAGGAGGACGCAATCCTTTATTTCTGACATGTTGGTGTTATATCTTTCACTTGGCTGTTATAAGTTGCACTGAGTAAATACAGCTGGATAAAACAAAAAACTGTTTCTGTCTTCATTTCAGGCTGCTACGCTTTAAAATGTGATTTTAAAAAGGGGGGATGATTCTTTTTTTTTTACATATGGAAAAATTGTAAAGAAGTTCCTGTGCAATCAAGAATCTAGAGTCACCTCATGAGAACTTTTTCAAATATAAACACAAGAGGAATTAAACAGGGCAAAACGGGCCGGTTGCTCAGTGCAATAGATGAATGAGCCATGGGCAAGATCACACCCTGCTCCACCCACTAATCAATATGAAAGTCTATTTTGGTGAAAGCATTAACCACATCAGGACCACAATACATATACGAGTCAATCAAAAAGTAATGCCACAATGTCTGTAATTTGAGATCTATTAGCGTGACTGTGAATGTTCATGTACCAGGTTATAAAGGTGTCCTTACACCACTAATGTATGCTTTTCTTTTTCAAATTGAGTGATTAGAACCATGGATTTGCTGCTAAAACAACGAGCTGTAATTGAATCGCTGGCAAAAGAGCTTTGCGCACCTAAGAAAATCCATAAATCGGCTAAAGAGTGTTTATGGGAACGCTGCAGTGGACATTAGCAATGTGCGGGGTTGGGTGAAGAAGTTTCAAGAAAGAGAAACCGGAATTCTACTACAGCGTCACCATAAAACATTTTTTAGCTGATTAGGTGCACAACCCTCTTTCACCAGAGATTCAATGACAGCTCGTTGTTTTAGCCGCAGATCCATGGTTCTAATCACTTGATCTGAAAAAGAAAAGCATACATTAATGGAGTAAGGACACCTCTATAACATCGTACACAAGCATTCACAGTCACTAATAGATCTCAAATGACAGATATGGAGGCATTACTTTCCGATTGACCCTCGTATAAATGGCACAGCCCTGAAGTGGTTATACCAAGAACATGGCTCCTGCATCCGAGATCTAGGTACTGTTTTTTACAGCCAATGGTTGGCCTAATCGACCTGGCAAATTAGGCGGCCGCGAGGCCTAAGGCGACCGCCTAATTAGAGAGCCGCCTCTGGTCACGTGCCAGCTGTCAAGGTCTCGCGTGCCAGGCTGGGCACGCGTGCCGGGGGTTGCTGACCCCTGGCCTAATCATTTGAATGCAGCTTCAGAGTGCACCAATAGGGGTCAATAGGTGACATTGGTGGTCTAATAGACCCATGATGTCCCCATAAAGAGGACCTCCTCTGTACCATCACATAGGGGGCTTGTTAGCATAATACTGTTAACACAATAAAGTCTGCAAGCACTGGATTAGCTACAGCACTGGCTCTTTTACAAAGCAGCTTCTGTTACATTAGGGGATCAGCATGCCCTAAGCCCACTATGTTAACCAAATATGATCTCCCCACAGATGATTTGCAGTCAGTGCTCCATTGTACTCAGACAAGTTTCTCCAAAATTTTATATAAAGTGCACTTATCCTTCTGGCTGACCCAACGAATCTCACCCTCCCACGGCACAGATGCATAATTGCCGAATTCCGACGGGCCTGGCCTCCATTGTTTGTTTACATCTTGCGGCAAAAGTCTCCCTCTCCTGGCTGCACTTGTGCAGTACAGCCCCATAAAAGTTGATGAAGGGGTGTACTGTGCTATATATTAACTGAATAATATACTGCATGTATTCAAAGTTTTTGAAAAACTATCCATAGTTATTCTTTATGTTGTTCTTCAACATGCTGGAATGCCTAGGAAAGGGGTAATCAGAGTGGAATAAAGGATTTATGATAAATTTATACATGGATTTATAAAAAATATTTAAAGCACAAACATGTTTAAATTGTATACGGTGCCTGGAGGTGGTGTGAGTGCTTGGTAGATCCCTTTAAATTAGATCTCCTGGATGGACTGCAATAGCCAAAGTCACAGCTGCAGTATATTCAGCTAGGAAGAACATGCCGTAATTCTTGATATTCTTTGTATCCTCACCAGCACAGAATGAGATGCAAAACCAACGTAATGCAACAATATATATCATAAAACAACGTACCTGATGTGCTTGTCAGTGGGACTGTATTAGTGAAGAATACCTTCTCCACCTTTGGAGGTTGCTGCTGCTGTAAACAAGAAGAAAATAATTAACAAGAGAAGAAAAAGCCAGGACAATAAGAAAGGGAGTGCATTAGAGGTGCACCGAAATGGAATGTTCAGACCGGAAATGAAATTCTTTTTTCTAACCTTTTTAAAATTATTTTTTTAATGTTTAATTTTATTTTCCACTCTGTCAGGGACTCGGGGGAAAATATCAGGGTCTAAATAGACCCTGATATTACTCTTTTGAAATCCAAAAAGAGATTGAGGACACAAAGTCCTAAATCTCTTTCTCTGCAGCCCCAGTTATGAATGAACAGGAATCCTCTATACCCTTGGTTCTCAACTGGTGGGTCGTGTTCAGTGGGTTGCCGCATGCCTTCCACTTTTCTCCTCAGCCTCCCCCTAGCGTAGCATTGTCAGTTCTCGCACCAACCAGTCATTTAAAATATGCTGCCCAGCGCCGAGTGTCAGCTTGAGGTGGGGTGGCCTGGGGCTATGGCCGCGAGGGAGCTCCATCCATACATGTATTGCTTAACCTCTTGCCGTCCTCCCGTAGTAAAAAAATGGACGGACGGGACTGCTGCATTGGCGGGTTGCCGTTGCCAGACGGCATTTTTTTTCTGCTCGCGCGCCCCCTAGCGGGCACGCACGGGCAGAAAATACCCGACCAATGCAAACACCCGGTAACGGGTGTTTCACATATAGGCGATCAGCGGCTCCATAGCCCGCCGATCGCCTATATGTGCTCGTTCGGAGATCAGCTCCTTACTGATCTCCGTCCGGGCTGTGAATGCAGAAGTGATGTGTATTACATCACTTCCGCATTCACCTGTCAGTCACCTGGCTGCTATAGCCAGAGAGAAGAAGCTGATGAAGCAGATCTCTGCTTCATCAGCTTCTTTTGGGTTCCACAGGTGACATTAGGGGTCCTAGAGACCCCTAATGTCTCCATAAAGAGGACCTGTCAGTGTGCCTTTGCTATTATATAGGGGGATTGTTATCCCCCTATATAATAGCAATAACAATAAGTGCAAAAAAATAAATATAAATAAAAATAAATAAAAGTAACATATAAAAAAGTAAAATAAAATAAAAGTCACATATAAAAAAAGGGGAAAAAAACCCCCAAAATGTTTAACTCCCCCACCCCCACGTTTACGCGCCTATAAACGTAAATACGCGTCCGGTGCCCCAGCGCGCAAAAATTACAATTGCGCTACACATGTTACATATCGCCGCGAACGTCGCAGTGAGAGCAATCATTTTAGGGCCATCAATCACTGATAACACTAAACTGATGAGCGGTAACAGCTTTTAAAGCGTCGCCTATGGCCAATTTTGGATATTATCGTTTTTTGAGGTTTTGCGCGCGCACGCAATTTTAAGGCTTGACATGTTTGGTGTCTTTTTACCCGACGTGACCCCGTCTTTTATATTTTACCAAAAAATTGGGTAATAATAAATGTTTTATCATTTGATATAGGGGAAACTTTTTTTTTTTAAATTTCGGTAATTTTTCCTTAATATAGTAAAAAAATAAAACCCCCAGTGGTGAATAAATACCACCAAAAGAAAGCTCTATCTGTCCCCAAAAAAATGGTATAAAATGTATTTCAGTACAGCGTTGCATGACAGAATAAATGTCAGTCAAAGTACCGCAGAGCTGAATACTGAAAAATGGTCTGGATGGGAAGGGGGTTTAACACTGCGGATGTCAACTGGTTAAAGCTCGCTCGCATATCCTGTAGAGGTGCCCGGACCGGAGTGACGTCATATTATGGCTCCCGACACCTCTACAGGGCATGAAAGGGAGCTGTACAAGCAATGCGCATATGGATAAAGCTCAATCACAGCACAGTAGCCCACAATGGACACCAAGCTGAGGATCCACAGGTAGGGAGATCTTACAAGTAGGAAAAAAATAATGTTTGTGTGGTTGAGAATGTCTGTGAGTGTGTGAGATTGTGTCTGTCGTCGTGTGTGTCTGTCAGTGTTTTTGTGGGCCCGTTCAACTAGTGCAGTGTGTTACTTGAACGGTCCTGTGTGATTATCGCACTGTACCAGGCAATCCCACCTACTACGCATTCTAGTGTCGGAGGTGCATTGAGTTGCCATTTATTTGAACGGCACCCCAAACGCACCTCCCACCCACAGTTCAATTGCCCGCGGTACCGCAATGCCATGAGTTCCATTGCAGTGCAACTTGGGTCATGACTTCATGACCAAGGACAAATGTGGGTCCAGAAGTAACACAGGCTGAGAACCAATGCTCTATACTGAGTGTTCCTGTCCCTTCACTCATTGTGATTATAGTATGAGTTACTATGTCCACAATCATGATGTAGAGCACTTCCTGTTCATTCATAATTGGAGACACAGTAAGCATACTATGTCCTCAATTATTTACAAACACTCAGGGATTAGTTGATCGTTGAGTGCTTGTACCCTGCTCGCCATCCTGACTCGCTGTCACAGGATGCTGAGCAAGTGGTGCGGGGAGGAGAGCTCAGCTTCCTGTGACACCGCTCTCCTTGCCACACCACCAGGTCTGACTCCTGTGACAGCCGTCTCTACTCCACTCGACCTCCTGAAATCTTCTCTCCTCCCCGCTGGACGCTGCTCTTTGTCAAAGGGGACACAGAGCAGTGCCCGGCAGGAAGAGAAACTACAGATGCAGAAATAATTTTGTTTTGGCGGAAAATGCGGTGCATTTTGCCCAAAGTACCATTTTCAGCAGAAATGTTTCGGCGGCTGACATTTCGGTGCATCCCTCGAATGGAGGTATTTTCTCAGACACATATCTTGGTGATGTATTAAAGAACAAGTTCCCTTTTAGTGTCACACTGCCTTTCTTCTGAAAACATGCCTGTCAGCTCCGCTTCTTAGTTTATAAGTGTGCCACAGTCAATTCATTCCTATGGTAAGCCATATTGCTCAGGAAGATGGGTATGAAGCTAATCCATAGGAATTGATGTGGCTGGGGTGCTCAAGTGCACCAAGAAGAAAGGACTATTTTGTTCACACCATCTCCAGACGCGTTTCTGAAAAAGAGGATGTGTGCTGTCTTGATCCGTTCTGGTGCGTTTTTGGTTTCAATTGTATTTCTAGTGCATTGCGCTGCATTTGAATGCGTTTACATTTTGGTGAGTTCCAGACCAGAAAAAAAAATAATGTATGCAGTACTTTTTTTTTTTTTAAACATTCTGGAAATGAACACAATTGTGTTACTAGTCTCACTTTTTAACATAGAAATAGGACCATAGGAATGAATGGGTAGGTGATTTTTAGACCTGACAAATAGGGCTGCAACAACTAAATCGATTATAATCGATGATTGAAAAAGTTGTCAACTTTTTCAATCTTCGAATAATAGGCTTCCGATAAGTTGGCCCTGTTCACGGCTCCACACGCCGCGCGCCGCACCTCCACCTCACCTCACACTCGCCACTGCCAGATCCGCCTGCCCGCATCTACACCTCCTCACCGCCCGCCCACATCCACGATCGGCACAGGGACAAGGGGAGCAGAAGTAAGGAGGAGCAGGTGTGGGAGGATGACAACCGCCGACAGACAGTCCCGATCTCAGAAGCAAGTTGCTGGAAGACTGCTCAGGTAAGCCTGCACTCCCCCCCACACATGGTGCTCTATAATGTATTGCTGGGATTTGTATTCCTCTATAGCTGATGGTACATTGTGCTGTTGCTCTATAGCTGGTGGTATTCTGCATTGCGCTGTATAGAGGACTACAAATCCCAGCAATTATACAGCGCAATGCGGAATACCACCAGCTACAGAGGACTGCAAAACCCAGCAATAGTACATTATACAGCGCAATGTAGAATACCGCCAGCTGTACTATTGCTGGGATTTGTTGTATTCCTCTATAGCTGGTGGTATTCTGTATTGTGCTGTATAATGTACTATTGCTGGGATTTGTAGTCCTCTATAGCCGGTGCCATTCTGCATTCATTGCTGTATAATTTTACACTTTCCATTTCACTATATTGCACACCACACTTTTTTTTTTTTTTCTTTTTTACTTCCACCGCTCAAAGCTTGCTCCTGTGATGGACTACAAATCGCAAAACAAACTAGTAGTCCCATCACTGGAGCCATTTTTAAAAATGTATTTTAATTTTTTATCCGATTAACCAATTAATCGAACTTAATAAATCGGCTAACTAATCGATCTTGAAAATAATCGTTAGCTGCAGCTCTACTGACGAAACACATTCTGGTCTGAATCTGGCCTGGAGATGGTGTGAACAAGCCCTAAAATAAAGGCAGTGCAACACCAGGCAGGGCTGGACCATCGATCAAGCTTAGTATTAAAGAGAGCAGGCTCTAAGTAGGAGATTTATTAAAAGACAAGCTCCATAAAAGTGAACTCGTCCTTTAAAAATGTGTAGGGACTCTGCTAGCAAGAAATAAAAGCACAAGTATCTGCTCTGTAACTAAACTACTTCCTGCAAGCTGATCCGACAAGCAACGCAATCATTGCACACGAGCCTGGGAAATGTGCCAGGTTTAGCTGCATTCTCCTAGACAAATAGAGCATAGCCTGGATCACACCACCCCAACCTCACCCAGTACAGGGTAATAGGTTTATGACTCCACCCCAACATTGCTATTAATCATGCCCCTTCCCATGAAAAATTAGAGGTAATTACCATCCATAAACTTACAATTTTTATCTAAACTACAATACAACAAAAACATATCTGAATGATTTGGTACAGTATTTTAAAAGATTGAACTGAATGATTTAAAAAAAAAAAAAAGACCATTATAAAGCCACCACATTTATAAATAAAAGAACATTTTTCAGGTCACCCAACTGCTACCTTTTTCTATGGAATCAAAAATGTAACAGCATATGTGTGCGACAATAGTCACTTCGCTTAAAGAGACCTGTCGCCATAAGCCCCGAGACTGCAATATTTGCTGGAGTTGCTGAAATCACATCCGACTCAGAGCTGTCACTAAAATGACTATAGTATTCACGCCTTCCCCAGCAGCTACAGAGAAAGGTTTTGTGGGGAGGTGAGAAGAGCAGCGGAGGAGCTGTGCCAGCATAGAGGATAATTAGACACTGATAGAAGAGGAGTGGGCTATGACATGCAAGGAGAAGGGACTGTGCTAGGGAATTGACTCTTCCTGGATTAGTCACGTTAAGAGGCACATTGCAATTGAATAAAATATAATTTATAGAGAAGAAAAACACTGCAAGCATTTAAAATTAATTTTTCTGTGTTTTTGTCTGCCATTTTTGAAGTTGATGACAGGGTCTTTTTACAATAATGTTATAAAGAATGCTGTATGATACTTACAGAGTGATCTTGATTCGCAGCAGTCCTGTTTAAAATCCACTGCAGATTTTGCTCATCCACAACTAAGCCAGATTGCAGCAAGGCAGTTCTAGGAGTCTGTGTTATGCTTATTGCAGGGTTGCTGCTCAATACAGTGTTGGCACTGGAAACTGCAGCCTGCACCAGTGTTGGTAGAACAGTCTCTAAAGAGGTTCCTGGAGGCAATGTAGGGCCAGCAACCACAGTCAAGTTTTCTACTAAAGTTTGTGAGGTCTGTTGGGTTAAGAAGTTGTCCTGGGTGGCAGAGATTTGGCCCCCATTATGGATAGGCACTTTTAGAGGCTGAGAAACAGTGCATGACACAGAGCTTGTTGACCGAGTCCCACATCCAATGGTTCTATGTGGCAAAGACAAAGAGGTTATGCCAGGAGTAGTCTGTAGGGTATCCTCCGACACAGCTGGAGGATTCACCAGAGGGGTCGCCAGAGGTGGTGGAGGTTCAGTAGCACTGGTCTCTGCTGGGTCCAAAGCTGGCGGGTCTGAAGCCCAGGTTTTTAACAGCACTTCTAGGGAAGAGAGGTACATAAGAATATAAAACACAAGTACCAAAAACAACAATGTGATTAACCATTACAGCTACCAATACAGAAAACAATTGTCAGATATCAGTCCATGTATAAGGTGCTCTTATCACAATCAATGTCAGAGTCAGCATTTCCTCACAGTCCATATTTTATGCACACCACTAAGCAAACTTAGAACCCACTTTCCTCCAGATTATTTTTTAGCATACCATAACAAAACAAAGGTAAATATCAAAAATTTAGATACCTGGAGGACCATGTTGCCAGTAGGCTCAATTCACTAAGAGTTAAATACTGCATGAAGTTTTGAGGTAAAAGAACATGCATTATTTGACTTTTAGGTATACAATGTAATTAAATCTATGAGTTATATACCGAATGAGATATTTCTTCAAAACATGCGGTATTTATCTCATATTTTGGCTTTTTTTTCACCTTTATTTTTTTGTTCGTTCCCAGTAAAAAAAAGAAAAAAAAAGGCACATCAGTGCAGCCGATCACACCTATAACATTAAAAACCAGCCAAGGCATATAAAAAAACGCTTTTTATTTGGTCCCATTCCTGACTTGATGGCATTTTTCTTTGTATCCTACTTTGAATTAACTTACCATATTTTTCGCTCCATAAGACGCACTTTTTTCCCCCCAAAAGGAGGGGGAAAATGTGCCTGCGTCTTATGGAGCGAATCCCGACGCCCGAGACATGCAGTTTCGGGCGCGTAGTGGGAGCCACTGCTCGTTTAATACGAGTGATCTAATGAGATCACTGGTATTAAAGCCGAGCAGCGGCGGCGGCGATCAAGTTCAGCAGTAGGAGCCACTGCTCTTTCAATACGAGTGATCTAATGAGATCACTCGTATTAAAACCGAGCAGCGGCGACGATCAAGATCACCATAGAGCAGACGAAGAACGGACTTTCTTCGTCTGCTCTGTGTGATCACTGAGACGGTGGCGCTGTAATCACAGCGCCACCTGTCTCAGCGGTCACTAACTGCAGCTTCTGTCACAGCTTCTGTCATAGAAGCTGTGACAGAAGCTACGGTCTGTCGAGTGCTCCATAAGGCGCGCCGGACCTCCCTGCGTCCTATGGTCCGGTGCGTCTTATGGACTGCAAAATACGGTATATCCCAGCAATGTGTTCTGGAATACATCCTTTCCCTCAAATTGGAGGGTATGACTACTTTCGCACTGCCACAGGCTGACAGATTCCAAATACCGACTGCCTCAGCCAGGTGATATTTGCAGATATTTCTTTTTTTTTTAAAGTGAATTGACTTTCATGTATTTTATGCAATATTTATCTCATATTTTACAGTTTTTATGCTTTCTCATGTTCGTTATTTACTTTCTAAATTAATTGAACATTTTATTATGACATGCAATTTTTTACGTGGCCTGAATATCACTTAGGCAAATTAGCTATAATTTTGCGCTGAAGTTGCTAGAGGGCCAGACCATTATAAATAGGGAAGCAGGTTGTTTACCACGACAGTAGAAGTGATTTTTTCAGAAGATATGGGTAAACAACGCGATGTAACAGCCTTTGAACGGGGGATGATTGTTGGCGCTCGGAGCCATGGATCAAATTATCAGCAAAATTCATTCAATGTTCAAAGAGCAGCTGTTGTTAAAGTGTTTAAAGACTGGACTGTCAGCCGAAAATCTGGGTCTGAACGTGCAAATTGTGGCCGTCAGCGACTAGTCAATGTTAGGGCCGAACGGAGAGTGGCAAGCCTGGTACAAGACAACAGAAGGACAACAGTGCAGTGGTAGCCAATGCGCCTTAAAAATTACAGCTTTGCTGCATTTGTTTGTTGCCCTAACATACACTTTAAAATTAAAAGGGTGCAGTAAGTTTGCATGTAAGAAAAAGCAGGGAGGTGCAGCTGCAATAGGACATGAAATAGAATTGGAAATAATGTAAAACCCGTAGAAGAACTATATGCAAGCTCACTCAGTTTTAATTAAATTTTTCACTAAATATTGGGGTTTAATAAGGAGTTGCGCTAATATTGCAACTACCACCATTTTATTCTATAGGTCTTGGCATTCAGAAAATATATAATGTTGGGGGGTTTTAAGTAATTTTCAGGCCTAAAACGTGGAATATAACATGGGTACAAAAAATGAAAAAAAGGCCTCAGTCATGAAGGGGTTAAGCAGTATGCTTAGGGTCGTTGTCCTGCTGAAAGGTGAACCTCCAAACCAGTCTCAAATCTCTGGCAGACAAACTGGTTTCCCTCAAGAATTTCCCTTGGTGTTCTCGGAGTGATGAGGTCTTGGGTTTGCATCAGACTTTGCGTTTTCCTTGAAGCTCAATTTTAGTCTCATCTGACCAGAGTACCTTCTTCCTTAGGTTTGGGGATTCTCTCACATGCCTTTTGGATAACAGCAAAACACGTTTGCTTATTTTTTTTTCCTGTAAGCAATGGCTTTTTTGTGACCACTCTTCTATGAAGGCCAGCCCTGTGGAGTGTACGGCTTAAAGTGGTCCTATGGACAGATACTCCAATCTCCGCTGTGGAGCTTTGCAGCTCCCTCAGGGCTATCTTTGGTCTCTTTGTTGCCTCTCTGATTAGGGCCCTCCTTGCCTGCTCCGTGAGTTTTGGTGGGCACCCCCCTCTTTTGGTTGGTTTGTTGTGGTGCCATATTCTTTCCATTTTTTAATAGTGGATTTAAATGGTGCTCCTTGGGATGCATAAAGTTTAGAATATTTTTTTTT